ATCAAATTGAACATCTACCATAGGCTAACATTACTAGTTCTAGTAGAATTAGTCAAAGTCATTTTAGTTTGTTACAGCAGTAGAAGAATCATTCAACTATAGGGGTGGCCTGTACCAGAATGGTTCCAGTTCTTGAGGGATAATTATTCATTCACCGTAACTTCACTTCTCTCACACCGTGTAATCTGACAACTCATCCCAAGTTCAAATGTATCAACTTCTTTGTTTTTCTTGTGAGATTATCCTTCTACATATTAATATCTTCTTTTCCATGACCTGGGTCTAAAACGTCACCTTCCACAAGCTTAGGGACATCAATGTTACTCTATGACTTCATACAATGAAATCTTGAATGTCCAGGAATTTGTGACAGTAAAAGTTACGACACTGTTTAGCAGTGTGGCCTTCTTCATGACATGCATTGCGCTTAAACTCTGGGCAATTTTTATCCAAATGATTTTCTGACAAACACAAATGACAAACTTTATGTTGACTGTTATGTTTAATATTACAATAAGCAGCATGTCCCAATGGATTACTCAATATTACTACATAGTGTAATGAGGTGACACCAGGTAGGAGAACTATTCTGAAAATTCTAGTTCCTGTGTGAACTTTATTAATCCTCTTCCGATATATTTTCTTACGTTTATTGTCATGTTTAATTCCACAGCCATATTCCAAAATTTTCTCCATGAGTTGATCATCATCAATATTAAATGGAGCATTAAATATGGACTCCATCACAACTTTGTTAACTATTCCACTGGCAGACAACAGGTACTCACCAAATTTAATTCCAATTTCAGCACACACTTCAGCATCATGTATTTCTTTAAAACTTACTTCATAACCATCAGGTCTTACAACTGCAAATTCAATGCAACCAACACCATATGTTCTTTCCACAGTGTTAACCATTTTCTCAAAATACATAGCCTCAGTTCAAACTAAAACCGTTTTATTTATAATTTTTATACGTAGACCTCCATTGCCACTTCTTAAACGGACAACGTACTAACTATCATGAATTTAAGAGACTGTGGCTAAATAGCTTGATGTTAAGATGACCTAAACTGAGGCAAAGACAAAAAATTAAAATAAATCGCTATTGCAAGAAAGAAGCCATCACCGAGCAACAAAAAACACGTCTTACTGCCAAGTAAGAGTTATAAGTACAATAACACCAAGTCAACAAATGTTAACAAATAATTCAAATCCCTAATGTAAACTATTATGTTATTGAAGTTTTTAATAATATTGCAATATCTTTCTCTAAACATAATGAGTTAATAATTTAAGAAAAAGTGTTAAAATCCTATTTAAAGAAAAGTTATAAATCATCCCCATTCATCTTGTATTTCAACTTGCCACTTCCTCTTGAGACAAGCCACTGAGGCAATCTGAAGTTACCAACAGAGAGTCGATCGATCGTTCCGAACAGAGGTTGGCTTTGAATATATACGTATATATATATGTATATCAATTACGATACAACAATAATAAAACACAATAATTCTACGAGAAACGCTAGTGGACGAGAAAATTATAATATCAATTACATTGTTTACAGCAATATTACACCAAAGTAATTCTACAAGAAACATATGTGAGTTGAAACAATTACAATACCAATTAAATAGTTTATAACAATAATAAACCACAGTAACTCTACAACAAACAAATGAAGGTTAATAAAATTATAATGTCAATATCGTAGAGTTACTGTGGTGTATTTTTGTTATAAACCATATATTTGCCCGATACCCGCGGTGGGCAGAGTACAGACAGGCCATTGTGTGGTTTTGTGCTTTGAAACAAAAACAAAATACAATGTCATGAATAAAAGTAAACCGGATATTAAGTGAATTAATGGTAACTGTGGTTTATGTATTTACTATTGTTTTGTTCATTATTAACCGCAAGTCACCTGTATTCATCTTTGTTTATTGTTATAAACCGTGTAATTGTTATTGATATTCTAATTTTCTCAACCATCACACCTTTCTTGTATGGTTACTGTGGTGTATTATAAACCGTAATATCGATATTGATATTATAATTTTCTCAGCCCCCATGTGTTTTTCTTAGAGTTACTATGATGTTTACTGTTATAAATATTCTAATTGATATTATAATTTTCTCAGCCCACACGTGTTTCTCTGAGAAATTATAAGGCTAAATAGTAGGTTTCGATACCTAACTTCTGAGCAACCGGGGGTTGGGTATTATAATAGAAAGGACAAATGACAATTTTTCGGAAATCTTTCTAGCTTACTAACTTGTTTCAAACCTAAGAATAGACTGGGGGTTCGTCTCCATGTGGGTCAGGTAAGTTATGGGCTTAGGAACAATAACATCCAGTGTTATTTTACCCCTGGTGGGCATAGTACAAATCGCCTTTGTACTAGAACAAACAAACAAAGACTGGGCTTCAAGTTTGTTTTTTATTTTTTTACCAAAACTTGACATTTTGAAGACGAGAAAATATTATTATAACAGAACATAAAATTGAGCCATGTGACATTATGAATAAATTAGGTGATATTTAATACTTATAACCAGGTTTATTTACGTTAAGAACGCTTTAAAGTTTAAAAAAATGTAGTATTAAAGTGACTTGCGTGGGTTTAATAACTGACAATATTATAACGTGTTATTAATCGCACAACTGCTCAGATAAAGTTAAGTAACAGCGTACAGTTAGTGAATTTAAATAATAACTCAGGAAAATTACATGATGCATTTGATATACAAGCCAGTTAAGTTGAATTAGCAATGAATGTGTTAATAACATAGTAGTTAACCAGCCCGTTGTAAGGAAAACGACTGATTGGCTGTCTCAGGCGACAGGCGGGGAGGGAGAGAACTTGAGTACAAGAGGCCACATGACATCATAGTTTCACGAAGTTGCACCAAATGGCGTGTTAGTAAGAATGGATAGATTACGTGCCGCCAGAGGACGTGCTTCTAGACCCCGTAAATTGGGGGGGGGAGATCTAATGTTTAGGAGGATGAAGTCATCTATCTTGAGCGTAGAGTTGGTCCGCAAGCAAGCGAACCACCAGAGGATGTTGTGGATCAACAGATATCAACGTCTCAACCTGAGTATAACTGAAAAGGACAGTTTTTATTTGTTGCATATGTTCAATACTACTTGGATTTGATAATAATCACGTGATAACAGAGCCTACTGTAGCTCAGTATACTGTTAACATGCATGGTTGATTTCTAAATAAAGTTTTCAGACGTTTGAGATATATAGGACGACGAGGGTCGACATATCCCATTTGTCGTCATTTGTGACATCATGAAAATCCCTTATTATCTTAATCCATCCATCTATGACACATATTAGGATTACCAGCTGTGACTTGGAATACCTTATTATGGATTGGGACATATATTGAATAATCTTTCTTTTTTTCTTATATATTTTTCACATATCCCATTCCTGAAAGAAGGGGTCATACTCGTAAGGAAAAAGTTGTTAAGTTAGTCATAAATTTACCCTTAGATGTTATACAAGAGAAACATTTTGTTGAGTTGTAATACAGTGAACAATGCAAGGAACTCGGAATCTGGCTTAAAATACCAAGCAGTTTGGGATACAATATAAAGGAGACTTAAAGAAATCGTGTTCAAAGTTGCTAGAACTGATAGGCGAAGAACATCGACTCCACACCTTTTCGACAAGTAAACATGAACCTCCTTCCACACGAAGAGTCCTGTCAGTGGACAAAGTGTGAGTTTCACCTTTTTCTTTCCCTCCCATACACACTGTTCTATACACACACACACACACACACATATATATATATATAAAGAAGCTAAGATGTCAGACCTGATATTAGGACTAAATTTAACGGAAAAAGTTAAGATGTTTCACCTGATATTAAAATTAATTTACCTGTAAGTATTGCTAATTCGCTTAATTTCTATAAAAAAAAAAGTTTACTTCAGTGATTGGATTTGGATCTTTTGTAAGTCGTGCATTTTCTATATATATAGAAAGGCGTCGCCTGGTGGAGGACGCTCGTCTCTCAACCTGCGTGTCATGGGATCGAATCCTCGTTAAGAAAGATACTCGCCCTTTCGACCGTGGGGGCTCTATAATGTGACAGTATATCCCACTATTTATTGGTAAAAGAATAGCCCAAGAGTTGGGTGTGGTGGATCGTCTGGTCTATCACTGCTAAATTAGGGATTGCGGACACAGATGTCCCTCGTGTAGCTTCTCTCGAAATTCAAAACAAGCTAACTAAATTATATTTAGTTGATATAAAATGATTTATTATACACTTTACTAACTAGGATGAAAACTGGCCATGAGAAATTGGATAAGGTTTTATTACTTAGTTTTTGAATACGCTGTGTAACTTTTATATTTGAATATTAGCATGAAAAATAGTTATTTTCAGGTCTAAGTTGTTGTAAGATAATCTCATACGTAAACTATAAAGTTAAACTGGACTATATTATAATTAACAAAACATGTGTTACATATATATGTTTGAATGTTGAACGTATAAGGTTAACCCAAAGGTACATTGTTAGTTTACTTATCTAGAGTTGAATGTTTTAACAAAATGTATTACAAGAATGTCTAATATGATGTAAATACATGTTGAAACATTTTGATATTTTTCAGATATGACATTCTCTATTGGTTTGCTTTTGAACCACCTTAGTGCTCATCATAGATGGCTTCATATTACGATACTTTGACCCCCCACCATTTCGATCCTTGCAACAAGCACACTTGTAATAAACATCAAGAATATCCACCCATAGCAACACCACTTTTGATGCTACCTTGTGAAACCATGACGTCACGTAACCTACTCCTTTCAAGCCTTTATTCTTCCCACCTATCGCCCGGGACAGCCAATCCGGCTTTTCCTCAATACAGGCTGGTTAACTACTTTACTTGTACAAGTTATTTACTTATCTCTCTCTTCGTCTGGTTACATACCGTTAGATTACGAAAGTTAACACAATCAAATAATATTTGTTGTATTTGAAGTCCTGGTAGAAGATCCAGTAAAATGGGTGTATGTTAAGTCCCTCTCTGACGATACAACGTGGTTGTTCTCGTGTGGGAGTTCCACAGCTAACAAATTGGACCCTGATTCTTTAGTGTTGATGGGGGTCCTGTTAGATGCTGATTTTGAAGTTACAGGTCTAAGTTTTACTTGAAGATATGTTCGAACCTTTCTGGTGCAAGAGAAAGAAACAAAAATGAAGAGCCCTTGTAAAGTATTTAACAAAACAAAAATGTACCATAGACTTTCATAATCAAGGTATCCAGCAAGAAGACCCACAATCCAGGTGAGACCTGTTAGAAGAGCCAGTTTTGAATACAGACGAAAGTTCTGTCTAGATGACTTAGTTTGGTTATTAGTTACGTCAGATGACGTATTGACAATTATCCTAGCACTACAGATAAAGAACACTACGTTCATAAACATCACTGTACCTAAAGGGGTAACAAAGAACAAAGACAAAGCTTTCTTGTGACCAAACCAACAATGATAGAGTCCAAATCCTGGTTTATATTCATCTGATACGTTCTCCTGCTGTTCAGTTACGACTGTCACTACTACTAAAATCATCGGAGTCAACCAAGAATAAAGACAATAGCACAGGAACCTCCGCCACTGTCTTCCTTTCGAGACTCGAAGTTCTCGAGCTGCTCTCAAAAGAGACATCCACACATCAAAAGCCAGTACACTCATCCATAAAAAGGAAGTGAAGAAGAAATAAAACGTGAGAGTTCCAAGAACAGCACATGTTGAAGAAGATAGGGCGTGGACATGTCCAATGGTGAAACAGCAATAAGCAGACAGAAGTGAAGTGGCTAAGGATGCTAGGTTTTTTCAGATAAATTATGTAGGTCAAGAACCAGGAAGAATATTGAAATATGAAAAATAAGGCAGACGATTGAAATCCCAAGACCTACAGTTTTAAAGGAACTTAAAGATTTTATTTGTGAACCGCTAGTTAATATTTGTAAAGGTCATTGAGTAGTGGAAGAGTATTAGAAGATTGGAAGTTGGCTAACGTTATTCCAATATTTAAAGATGGTGATAAACATTGTCCAGGCAATTATAGACCAATTAGTTTTATATCAGTAGTTGGAAAGGTTTTGGAGAGAGTGATTGAAATGCATTGCAGAGTCACTTAAAGCTGTTTGATATAGTGTCAAAGAGCCAGCATGGTTTCACTAAGGGAAAATTTTGTTTAACAAATCTTCTGATATACTTTGAGGATACTACTGCAAAAGTTGATGAAAAAAATATTGCGGATTTGGTTTACCTTGATTTTCAGAAAGAATTTGATAAGGTGCCCCACAAAACATTTGTTACAAAAATGAAATCTGTGGGTGTGGGGGAAATGCTATTAAATTTGATAGAAAATTGGTTGGAGAGAAGAAAGCAGAGAGTAGTAATAAATAGAGTTAGATCTGACTGGATCAGAGTTACAACCGATTTGCCTTAGGGCTCTGTGCTGGGTTGTCTGCTGTTTGTGATTTATATTAATGATATTTACTCTGGAATGACAAAGAAAATATTGAAGTTGGCAGATGACATTAAGATTTTTGGGGTGGCTAACTGTATCAAAGATGCTGCAGGCTTTCAGGAAAATTTAGATCATTTGATCCATTGGGCCAGTACGTGGTGCATGTAGGTTTTCACAATTCAAATTCTTGTTACAGTTTAAAAGGGAATACATTAGATACTGAGGTTGAAGAAAAAGATCTTGGTGTTGTGATTGAAAAATCACTTAATTAATCTAAACAATGTATTGTAGCTAGCAATAGTGCTAATAGGATTTTGAGTAACATCTATAGAAATATTGAATACAACACAAGAGATTTTATCGTTTCACTGTATATATCACTTGTCAGGACTCATTTAGAGTATTGTGTACAGTTTTGGGCTCCCTTCTTCAAGAAGGACATTGAATTGTTAGAGAAGGTTCAGAGAAGAGCTACTAGGATGATACGTGGGATGGCGGGATTGTCCTATGAGGAGAAACTATAATATCTAAACATGTTTCCTCTGGAGAGGAGAAGGGTCAGAGGGGATTTGATTGAGGTGTTTAAGATTATTAAGGGTATTGATAATATAAATCATTAAGCAGTGAAAACAGTAAGACAAGGGGTCATAACTTCAAATTTTTGCAGTGTATGAGTCGTCTGCAGTTTAGACAGTATTACTTTTCAAACAGTATGGCGGGCTTTTGGAATGAGCTGCTTCAAGGGTGGTGGAGGCAGAATATTTAACTGATGTCAAGAAAAAATTGGATGAATACATGAGTAGTAGGGGGTTGTTATGGTTTGGAGCTGGAAGGGACATCTTTGATGGCTAATAAGCTCCTTCTTGTCCCTTTAGATTTTTATGAATTCAAAACCAATAGAGTAAAAGTGAGAAGGGCTAGGCTTATAAAATGGGAAATATGGAACTGGTATAACAAATGAACTTGACAAGATTTTTAGAAAAATAAAACAGGATCTTACGCATCCTCAGATGCTAAGGAACATATATGCAAAGATTAAGCAATCAAAGTTCAGGGGTTTGCTTCTAGAATTGAAATAGAGAAATGTTGCAAACGACATTCAAACCTCTTTAAGTTTAACAGTACTGAGAATGACATAAGATCAGCTTATTTGTACAAACACATATTCAAATGCTGCACGAAAACACACTGACTGAATCAATCTCTATCATGAAATAGCTTTACCCCTATTTTCTTGACTATCTTTCAACTGACTTATTTTAAAACTACTCTTCCTTATTTATAATCTAGCTTCGAACATACTAGAAGACTTGACACTATAACTGTCTAGGCGTTCTAGGTCTATCTTAACATAATGTGCCCTCTATCTAATAAACGAATTACAACATTAAAATTATGATTTACACAATAGAAATACGAAGTAATATAATTCTGACTTTTTTGTAAATGAAAGACACTGATAAATTTGCTTCTCTATAAAAGAAAAAGAAAGAGGCTTTATTAACAGCAAGTAACACTGGCTTGTGAATTTTCCAACAGGTAAACACAAATTTATATATTTTCCCCTACATGTCAACTTCCTTTGATGGCTAGTTACTGGACAATGAAGTACTCAAAAGAGCCTCCAACGAGTTACAAAGGGTGTCAGATCTGAACCTAGATACCATATGTGACTCCTTATGGTGCTTGTAGGGAACCTTCAAAGTTTGTATTGATGAATAGAAGAGATGGGAACACATACTCCCCTCCCTCTTCCCAAGGATGACGTAATTGAATCAGGTTCGATAGTCGACCGTGTTACATCACTTTTTCAGGATAATGAAGATATGTTCAATTATTCATAAAATAAAAATTCCATACTTTACATTTTAAAGAGGGCGCTACAAGACAATAACAATACATGCACTGTGTTTATGATTTTTTTGTAAGTGGTAATTTAGGTGTATAAGGAAAGATATTTAAGAATTCATTTTTCAAGCTATTATTATAGTTGTAAATAATATATTCAGTGATAATGATATTAATTTACTAAGGATATATAATTGTTACTCTGTGATAATATCAAATCGCAGTTTCAATGTGTAACTTCACTGTAACTTAGTGCAAGTTGTAATTTGTAAGTTAGTGTAACAGTGTAACGAAGCTAAGAATAAGGTTAACAACGAAGTTTTAACCTTGAACAACATTGCAACAATCGGTACTGTAACTTGAGTGTAAGAACAAGACAAAGTTTGACTATAACTGATAAGAATTCAGCCAAGTTTTTGTAAATTGTGGTATTCTAAATATATTCTTATCCTACACTCAAACTTCAGAGTAAAAGATTTAATTATTTCTTTTAACAAGAGTATTATAGTTTTCGTTGTTTAAGTTATTGTTTCCTTTTTCTTTACAATGTCTTCCATGATTTTATGTTATTATAAGAATATTTGATCTAACATTTTGCTTATTAATCTAAAAATTGCAATACTTGTTAAGAGCTTCAACTGGTTATTCTTCAAACTTGGAACACTTGTCTACAATAAAGATAGTAACAACAACAACAAAAATGTACTGGGGTTAGATAGTTAAAGTCTGAAAAATTTCTAGAAGATATAAGTCTGACCAGCTTAGCTACTGAAGCTATGGTTACTTCGAAATTTCTCTGTCCTGTTATTTTGAATGCTAGTTTGTTTGTTTTTTACTATCCTGTGGTCTAATGTATTATTTACCATTTGCTAATTCCACTGTTTGTGTGAGAATGATCGGCTTACCCTTTTTTTGAACAACAGACTGTGTACAATAATAATAATAGATAATTTGAAATTTGTTACACCCTCAAATGTAAAATATGTTTTTCACCATTTCATACTGAGATGTTACACTTGATCATATATTATTCATTTCCTCTGGTACAAGTTTCACATTCAATGTGGTCCATTCAAATATTTAACATGTAATGAATTAAGTACCTTACTATATGCATAATTTGGCAAGGTCATTAACAAAATTTTTGCATGATAAATTTGAGGAATTTTATTTAATTTCAAAAATGAGATTAGTTAATAATTAAAATGATCACTTGTATCTTTAAACAGCTTGTTTATTGACCTCATGTTTCCCTTATAATCCTCTAGTTCATCTCAACCAAGCATGTGTCTCCTTTTCCTAAGTACCAATGAGAATCCTGCACCAGATGGCTATTACCTTGTATTATTGAGCGTTAGGGATGAATACTACTGTAGGCCAACTTTGGATTGTCACTGTTGGAAGGACTATCCTGTTGAGGTTTATGGAGGTATTGTGGAACTAAAAATTATTAATAAATTTAATTATAAGAAACAGAAGAACCATTTTTTTATTATCATGTTTGCTTTTTAACAATT